ACACCGAGTCGGCAACAGTTAGTGTCGTGCTCGAGTGCGAGCGGACTCGTCGCGAGTTCTGCATCGCAGCAAAAACGGAGTCGAACGCGTTTTCACTTTGGAATTCCGATGGCTCGTGCAAACGTTCCTTTACTCTCGTAGATCGAACCACGTGCGATCTCGTTGTTGTCTAGAGGGAAAGCTCCTCGCTCGTGGATAGTCCGCTGAAGCGCATCGAAGAAGATCCAGAAGACCGATCTGTGAAGGTATGTTTACGATCCGGGAGGTGACCGATTCGCGCAGAGATCTAACCGGTTCGATACATCGATTCGGTGAATAGTGATCGATGATGCAGTGCCGATCTCGAGTTGCAACCTCGAGTTGCAAAACGTCGAGACCTTGGTGCAAAACGATGGCGAACGGATTCGCTTCAGGAGGCACGATAATGGCGTTTTTGCCTGCCATTCCTTTTCGTTGGAATGCTAACGGTTTACTGTTGCCATCATGCTCGTTATAATCTAATCGAGATAAGGGAATTTATTCGGATGACTCAAAGAAAGAAAGAGAGAGAGAGAGAGAGAGACGCGCGTGTTAGGTCTCGTCGCTTTTCCCCGAGCATCGGGCCACGATAAGATGACGCTTCTCAATTAATATCGAAGCAGGAAACAGACTAGTCGGATGACGTCGGAATCGTTGCCGTTTCTACGCTCCAAGTCTTCGCACGGTTTTTTTTTTCCTCGTCCGTTCCAAGCTGCGCCTACAGGTGTGTCACGATCGTTACGCAGATTGTGACGGTTTACGGTTCGGACCGGTTGCATAATGATGGAGATCTTTTTTCTGCTTTGCGGATATGCATGGCTTGGTGTCTTTTTTTATATTCTTCATCATTCTTAAGAAAACGCGAGTGACAATGTGTCTCCCGTTATTCATTGTCGATATACGTATTAATAAATGGATGTTAATTTCCACACGTCTGATATTATTATTCAATTCACGTCAGTGAGACATATGGCTCCGAGAAAGTTTGTTCTATCATTTCATCATAATATGTGAAAATGTGACCTGAATTGTCAATATTTATTGACAACGCGCGGAATATTTTGCCGGTTACGAAGTTGTCTCTTCATTACTCTCGGTATTAACGATTCTTTAATATTTATCAACATCGATAAATTATCGGGCGATTAGAAAAATAAATATCGAGTAAATATACTTTTTACATCTTTCGAAAAAATCGAATGTTTTCATATTCCGTAAGTGCGGGTTATGGACGCAGGTGCGTGCAAGTTCTTGGATGCATATGGGTGATGGACGATGAATGAGGTGATATGGCTTACGATGACAAATGTGTCGCGACGCATCTAATTAAGAAAAAAAACGAACAGCGTGATGGTAATGTGCCTTGATAATAGCGTTTCCTGTGTGTGTCACGTTAATATTAAAATTAAAGTGTTACTTGGTATTGAAGTATATCAGTTATCTTAGCACGATTCTCCGAAGAGTCATTAATAAAGTTGAAATGTATTAAATATAGTGGACCAATCATAATTTCAATAATTATAACGCGACAGATAATTGTGTCACGAATGCAATAACACTGTGTTATATCCTCAAACGTGCTTCGCACAAACAGCACAATCCTGCGGACTTTGAATTTGTTGGCGAGAACTAATAATTGCATGCAAAATCGTTCAATTTTACAGTCGATTAATTACGTATGCATATTAAATATAGATTAATGTTATGTTGCACATGCAAATTCCTACCTTGTACAGCACATGATTTGTTACCTCTTCTGCATTTTAATTGGTCTATCGCAACTCAATGAACATGGGCAACGCATTGAGAGGCTAAAGAAATCCTCGCGAAGGTCAGTGAATCATGCGAGAAAACAAAGAGCCTTCATCGGAAACGGAATAGTTTTACTCCAATTTTCTTTTTAAATTTTTCCCTTCATATCTTTATTTTATCTCGATCGATCTGATACTTCGTTATCGCAAAATTAATATTAATTTATGGATAATTAATAATTCTTGTTAATTTAAGACGGGTAAATAATACGAAATTATGTTGTTAAATAAAATGTGAAATATAATTCGTCGCATATTTTATATAAGACATCGATGTCATGTCTTTACGAGATCTTTTGTGAGATGAAATTGCATTTCTTTTTATATTTCTACGGAAATGTATTTTACGTACATATACATACATATATACGTATCAAATCGGGCAAATAACTGCGCTATCTTCAGGCAGCTGTGTTGATAGCACATCGATCGTAACCAGAGGTTACGTGAGTTCGACTGATGCACAAGGACAAATATATATATATATATGTTCTCCGTTTAGCATAAAGATATCCGTTGTATGCAAAATCTCGAGAATTCGCGTGTAATTTCAAGAACGGATTAACTGAGAAGACCGATGTAAAAGTTTTGGCGAAGAAGAGATATCTAAACACGAAAGAGATCCGTTGTCAGAAGGAGCTTCATGAATAATTGAAGAGCAACGAATGTAAAATTATCATAATGCGTGAATGACGCCGCGAGAAATCCTCATCAAGGTACGACCTACATTCGTGCGCGTGGCTAATAATCCTTACATATTAATACTATTGTTTCTGTCGAGATTAAACTTGAGATAGAGTATGTCTGTCTTTCATAGATCTTTAATAAAAGGATATCTTTTAGAACGTTAAATGCTGAAAAAATAAGAGAAGCTTAAAATAATTCGATATCTATAATAAATGAATTATTCAATATTTAAATAAATTTGAATATTAAATTTGATATTTCGAATATGAATTTATTTAGAAAATTTAAATATATATTCATACTTAATAAATGTAAAATAATTCACGAGAGATGTACTTTTTTCCTTCTTCTTTTTATCTTCACATTGATAAATATATTCGAATTGATTGTCGTATCATTTTTTATCTTTTATTATTGATCTCATTAATTAAGTTTAGATAAATTCGTTAGTAAAATTTTCATCATTATTAGATAAAATTACATCTCTATATGGATAAAGGTAGATCGATATAATCTGTTATTCAGTAATTTGCTCCATTTCGGAGAGTTATACGCATAACTGTAGAGCGATTTAACTTTTAAGCCTAATATATCGTTAGTGGGCAACGAGCTTCTTGCGTCGGAGTTCCGGGAGCAATAATTTCGCACCTACACAGGAATTCTGCACATAGCCGGTCGTTATTATTTCATTGTGAAATAGTTTGTTATGAAATCTCTGAGAAAATTGACAGAGATAAGTACGGGAACCGGGGTTATAATTTTTAAAATTACCAAATGCATTGTGTCTATAAATCATTATAAGAAATAACCGACGCAAAAGTTGGATGATTGACGTATCATCTGCCAATTTGCGTCTATTCAAGATAAAGATTTCCACGTTAGATAATAACGCGAATTTACATTATTCGTCAGAAATTGCGTAATCGGAAACAAGATTAGCGGCAGATATCTCTCGGCTAAGCATATGGTTAAGTAATTATAATGGAACGCGTCATCGTTACGATACGTATGTATGTATGCATTTGGGGCGATATTACACTTTGAAAATCATATATCTAAATTATAAACCTCAGGAAATCTGGAATCTAAAAATATACCTGCATGTAGAGAATATATTGTCAATTGGGACAGAGAGACAGGCGGGTGGTAAGATCAGGGACAAAGAGAAGCTGCGAGCAAATCGGATCTGTTCGGTTCGACTCGGTATCCCTCGGTAGAAGGCTCCGGATGCTTTTCTTCGGTCCATGTGAAAACTGTATACTCAGGTATATCTTTGCTAAAGTTAGACGAATCTAGATATTCGTGCTGTCGGTTAAAAAGTTCAAAACTATTTTCGCTCCTATCGGTTTATTTGATATCATAAAAGGATGCAATTCGTAGATATCGTCGAATCGAGATATATCTAGTGTTTTGATACGACATTTCTTGTTATCGTGTTTTCATGATTTTATCATTACGACGAACGAGACTTTCTTTCGTAATGATATCGTCGGACAAACTTATCATCGAAGAAGAACCAGAGGGGGAAAACGACACAACAAAGAGAGCGACTCAAAGAGAGACCAGGAGGGGAGGAAGAAGAGTATTGGAGCAGAGTATGCGTGAAGTGGGAGGAAAGCGTGCGAGAGAAAGAGCGAGCGAGAATGAACGAAGAATGAAGCATGACTGCACGACTGAGTATCGTTAACCAGTCGGCCACACAAGAGAGTCCGTTCTCCAGACCCTGCTGGTAATCACACCGAGTCGGCAACAGTTAGTGTCGTGCTCGAGTGCGAGCGGACTCGTCGCGAGTTCTGCATCGCAGCAAAAACGGAGTCGAACGCGTTTTCACTTTGGAATTCCGATGGCTCGTGCAAACGTTCCTTTACTCTCGTAGATCGAACCACGTGCGATCTCGTTGTTGTCTAGAGGGAAAGCTCCTCGCTCGTGGATAGTCCGCTGAAGCGCATCGAAGAAGATCCAGAAGACCGATCTGTGAAGGTATGTTTACGATCCGGGAGGTGACCGATTCGCGCAGAGATCTAACCGGTTCGATACATCGATTCGGTGAATAGTGATCGATGATGCAGTGCCGATCTCGAGTTGCAACCTCGAGTTGCAAAACGTCGAGACCTTGGTGCAAAACGATGGCGAACGGATTCGCTTCAAGGGGCACGATAATGGCGTTTTTGCCTGCCATTCCTTTTCGTTGGAATGCTAACGGTTTACTGTTGCCATCATGCTCGTTATAATCTAATCGAGATAAGGGAATTTATTCGGATGACTCAAAGAAAGAAAGAGAGAGAGAGAGAGAGAGACGCGCGTGTTAGGTCTCGTCGCTTTTCCCCGAGCATCGGGCCACGATAAGATGACGCTTCTCAATTAATATCGAAGCAGGAAACAGACTAGTCGGATGACGTCGGAATCGTTGCCGTTTCTACGCTCCAAGTCTTCGCACGGTTTTTTTTTTCCTCGTCCGTTCCAAGCTGCGCCTACAGGTGTGTCACGATCGTTACGCAGATTGTGACGGTTTACGGTTCGGACCGGTTGCATAATGATGGAGATCTTTTTTCTGCTTTGCGGATATGCATGGCTTGGTGTCTTTTTTTATATTCTTCATCATTCTTAAGAAAACGCGAGTGACAATGTGTCTCCCGTTATTCATTGTCGATATACGTATTAATAAATGGATGTTAATTTCCACACGTCTGATATTATTATTCAATTCACGTCAGTGAGACATATGGCTCCGAGAAAGTTTGTTCTATCATTTCATCATAATATGTGAAAATGTGACCTGAATTGTCAATATTTATTGACAACGCGCGGAATATTTTGCCGGTTACGAAGTTGTCTCTTCATTACTCTCGGTATTAACGATTCTTTAATATTTATCAACATCGATAAATTATCGGGCGATTAGAAAAATAAATATCGAGTAAATATACTTTTTACATCTTTCGAAAAAATCGAATGTTTTCATATTCCGTAAGTGCGGGTTATGGACGCAGGTGCGTGCAAGTTCTTGGATGCATATGGGTGATGGACGATGAATGAGGTGATATGGCTTACGATGACAAATGTGTCGCGACGCATCTAATTAAGAAAAAAAACGAACAGCGTGATGGTAATGTGCCTTGATAATAGCGTTTCCTGTGTGTGTCACGTTAATATTAAAATTAAAGTGTTACTTGGTATTGAAGTATATCAGTTATCTTAGCACGATTCTCCGAAGAGTCATTAATAAAGTTGAAATGTATTAAATATAGTGGACTAATCATAATTTCAATAAATATAACGGGACAGATAATTGTGTCACGAATGCAATAACACTGTGTTATATCCTCAAACGTGCTTCGCACAAACAGCACAATCCTGCGGACTTTGAATTTGTTGGCGAGAACTAATAATTGCATGCAAAATCGTTCAATTTTACAGTCGATTAATTACGTATGCATATTAAATATAGATTAATGTTATGTTGCACATGCAAATTCCTACCTTGTACAGCACATGATTTGTTACCTCTTCTGCATTTTAATTGGTCTATCGCAACTCAATGAACATGGGCAACGCATTGAGAGGCTAAAGAAATCCTCGCGAAGGTCAGTGAATCATGCGAGAAAACAAAGAGCCTTCATCGGAAACGGAATAGTTTTACTCCAATTTTCTTTTTAAATTTTTCCCTTCATATCTTTATTTTATCTCGATCGATCTGATACTTCGTTATCGCAAAATTAATATTAATTTATGGATAATTAATAATTCTTGTTAATTTAAGACGGGTAAATAATACGAAATTATGTTGTTAAATAAAATGTGAAATATAATTCGTCGCATATTTTATATAAGACATCGATGTCATGTCTTTACGAGATCTTTTGTGAGATGAAATTGCATTTCTTTTTATATTTCTACGGAAATGTATTTTACGTACATATACATACATATATACGTATCAAATCGGGCAAATAACTGCGCTATCTTCAGGCAGCTGTGTTGATAGCACATCGATCGTAACCAGAGGTTACGTGAGTTCGACTGATGCACAAGGACAAATATATATATATATATGTTCTCCGTTTAGCATAAAGATATCCGTTGTATGCAAAATCTCGAGAATTCGCGTGTAATTTCAAGAACGGATTAACTGAGAAGACCGATGTAAAAGTTTTGGCGAAGAAGAGATATCTAAACACGAAAGAGATCCGTTGTCAGAAGGAGCTTCATGAATAATTGAAGAGCAACGAATGTAAAATTATCATAATGCGTGAATGACGCCGCGAGAAATCCTCATCAAGGTACGACCTACATTCGTGCGCGTGGCTAATAATCCTTACATATTAATACTATTGTTTCTGTCGAGATTAAACTTGAGATAGAGTATGTCTGTCTTTCATAGATCTTTAATAAAAGGATATCTTTTAGAACGTTAAATGCTGAAAAAATAAGAGAAGCTTAAAATAATTCGATATCTATAATAAATGAATTATTCAATATTTAAATAAATTTGAATATTAAATTTGATATTTCGAATATGAATTTATTTAGAAAATTTAAATATATATTCATACTTAATAAATGTAAAATAATTCACGAGAGATGTACTTTTTTCCTTCTTCTTTTTATCTTCACATTGATAAATATATTCGAATTGATTGTCGTATCATTTTTTATCTTTTATTATTGATCTCATTAATTAAGTTTAGATAAATTCGTTAGTAAAATTTTCATCATTATTAGATAAAATTACATCTCTATATGGATAAAGGTAGATCGATATAATCTGTTATTCAGTAATTTGCTCCATTTCGGAGAGTTATACGCATAACTGTAGAGCGATTTAACTTTTAAGCCTAATATATCGTTAGTGGGCAACGAGCTTCTTGCGTCGGAGTTCCGGGAGCAATAATTTCGCACCTACACAGGAATTCTGCACATAGCCGGTCGTTATTATTTCATTGTGAAATAGTTTGTTATGAAATCTCTGAGAAAATTGACAGAGATAAGTACGGGAACCGGGGTTATAATTTTTAAAATTACCAAATGCATTGTGTCTATAAATCATTATAAGAAATAACCGACGCAAAAGTTGGATGATTGACGTATCATCTGCCAATTTGCGTCTATTCAAGATAAAGATTTCCACGTTAGATAATAACGCGAATTTACATTATTCGTCAGAAATTGCGTAATCGGAAACAAGATTAGCGGCAGATATCTCTCGGCTAAGCATATGGTTAAGTAATTATAATGGAACGCGTCATCGTTACGATACGTATGTATGTATGCATTTGGGGCGATATTACACTTTGAAAATCATATATCTAAATTATAAACCTCAGGAAATCTGGAATCTAAAAATATACCTGCATGTAGAGAATATATTGTCAATTGGGACAGAGAGACAGGCGGGTGGTAAGATCAGGGACAAAGAGAAGCTGCGAGCAAATCGGATCTGTTCGGTTCGACTCGGTATCCCTCGGTAGAAGGCTCCGGATGCTTTTCTTCGGTCCATGTGAAAACTGTATACTCAGGTATATCTTTGCTAAAGTTAGACGAATCTAGATATTCGTGCTGTCGGTTAAAAAGTTCAAAACTATTTTCGCTCCTATCGGTTTATTTGATATCATAAAAGGATGCAATTCGTAGATATCGTCGAATCGAGATATATCTAGTGTTTTGATACGACATTTCTTGTTATCGTGTTTTCATGATTTTATCATTACGACGAACGAGACTTTCTTTCGTAATGATATCGTCGGACAAACTTATCATCGAAGAAGAACCAGAGGGGAAAAAGTCGCGTGAATAAGTGGATAAACCTTCAATCTATCTGAACCTAGCGTGTCGTTCTGTTCGTAGTTGATCGTAGTCGTTTTATTTGCAATGTACATATTGACCGAATTCAACAAGTGAAGGTGTGATAATAAATTAATAACGTAAATTAAATAACTATTTATAATAGTGTAAAATAAAATTTATCTGTATAACGCAGAAAGATTTATAAATTCATAAATTAAGCTGAAATAATTATTTGGCAAGTGACATTGAATAAATAATTAATAATACGATACAGATAGATATAATCTCTGCTAAAAATAATGTTAAATAAAATCGATACTGTACGCGGGTAAGCATTGTGCTCTCGATAGGCATCGTATAGTTGCACTTTTAGTGCGTTTCACGGACGTTTGTGTATAAATGTGACTCATGATTCTTCTTGCGCCTTTGTACGAGTGTATAATTAGCGCAAAGATCGCTCTAACTCGCCATTTAGTCATCTTTCTATTGCGTATATTGTCTCGTGCGATTTTCATTGTCGCGAGCGTGCGAGAAACTTACCAGACGTAGACTTAGAAGACGTTATCTTCCCGAGGTTAAGTTTCTCTCTCGCATGCCGTATACCATCGCGACGACCCATGACGGACGAGATTATGTATCCAGTCAGCGGCTGAAGAGTGTTGATCCGCAGGAAAAATTCGCAACTTCTTGCCTCGAAAATTTTCCTCAGGAATACGTACAACTCCCTCTCGGGAGGCTTTTCACCCAAGTTTCATTGAAAAGGTATACGTCGCCTGATGCCCCCGTAAGTTTCCAAGAAATACGTCTTTCATAACTTTCCGCAAACTCCGCTGAATCTACGGGTAATGCCTTCGGATATGCGAAAATAGATCGCAGGTTGGCAAACCACTAGCGCGAAAATAATTCGCGATGCCAAGCGGTTAGCAATACTTATCGATGCATTCTGATTGTCGTATATATTTACAAGTGCATACACTATTATTTCATTTAGATATGCAAATAGCGGGATACTCTGTTGATAAATTGTACATAATACATGTGTGTGTGTGTGACAATCTAAGCCATCTAATATTAGCTGTAACCCTTCCCCCCCCTCTACATTTAAATCTATATATAATAAGTTAAATAGAAGAGCATCTCTCTCTCTCCGAACTAAAACAAAACCGCGCGAAATTGTTCTATGTCACGGATTAGCTGTGTAAATAAATATAATTCTTTCATACAGATCGTGGATAATTATGGTAAAAAGTGGCACGATAAACGACCCATTTAAAAAAAAAAAAAACCATTCCAGAAAAATCAAGCTACGAGTTATTACGCTATATACACATATATACGTAGTTCTAAAATCGATTATCCGATATACATGACACTTTTAACAAAGAGAGAGAGAGAGAGAAAAAGAAAGTCAAAATATATTTAAAATAATTAAAAATAATATATATACAGTTCTTATTACATATATTATTTGAACCTATCATTTACTATAATGGTAACCAACCGCTGATTATTTATATCGTATGAAAAACGTGATATTGCTCGTGATTAAGCGTTATCATAGCTAGCTCCAGATAAATAATTCTAAACAAACGAGCGAAATTGCTGACAATGTTCATGCGTCTCACTCGATACCGAGTGATATCGACCGGGTCGGGAAAGCGTTAATCCGTCTTGCATCTATGATCTAATATCTAATGAATATTCCTTGCGACACGGTGCGCACATGTGGAGGAACAATTTGATTATATCGCGAGCCAGACACGTTAAAGTTTAATTCATTCGCGGTTGCGTCGATTTTTATTTGATAGCGTTCCGATAATCATTACAAATTCAATGAAGGATTAACTTTTCATGCAACCTTAAGGGATACTTTTTATGCAAAAGTAGTATAAAATAGAAAAAAAAAAATTAACGTTTTACGGATTTTTTGTGTAGAAATAAATTGATATAAAACTAACATTCGCATTTTGTTAAAGATATTGTGACGTGACATGTCGAAAACATGTGATTTTATTTGAAATACGTCGGTGTATAAGATTAGCGAAAATGGGAACTAATGACGTAATTGTAATGTCTTCAAACGAGCAATAAACCATATCCATGATTGTCACTCAACACCATACCGCGTGACTCAGGCTCTCTTACGCTTTTGTACACGTATAAGCCTGATAAAACTTTTCTCGTGTTTCTTTCTTACTGAAACACGAAAGTAACATTAACCTACTGCACTCAATATATATATTTTGTGTGACTTTTCCATAGTATATCTTCAGTAATTTTGTTATAAATTCTACGTCACAGTGTTCGTGTAAAAGCTATTCT